GACAGGCCTGGAGGGGCCCGCTTTGTCCGGGCAAGGGAGGAGGGGGCGGGGAGGGAGCGAGGGGAATGTCACAATCGGCTTCTTCCCATCGCAGAGCAAGAAGCGTCACGTCTCCGGGCTACAGAGAACCACCAGACCGACCTCTCCGTCAACTTCTACCGGAAGCGGATCCGATTCTCGGCCGTAAAGCGATCCGGCCGTAGACTACAGCTTAAAAAAAGCAATTTACGACGGCGACTAATAGTGTCGCTTGCCGCCGCAAAGGATTGTGGGGATCGTAGTTGTATGGCCACTTCCCCTCGGGAACTGTCGCTAGGGTGCAAGTTGCAATGGTCTTAAAGGCTCCCGTGTTGAGCAACCCCCTATAATTTCTCTCTCAATGGTTTTAGCCTACCCAGCTAACTTGCTATCGTCCTAAGGTTGATTGCAAGGTGCAGTGTACAACTCGCATCATTCTCAACTATATGCTGACTAGGATAATGGGAGTTGTAGTCTAACCCAGTCAGTGGCTCTAGGTATTGGAGGCTGCTTCTGGTATTTTAGCCATAAACTTCGGGCTTCTGAAGCCGTCCAAGACAAACGAATCTAGCGATTTTGAGATAATGGGATCTAAACTGCAGGGTGTTCTCACCCGCTCATGTGGAATACTCAAGCTCGTAAAGCCTGGACACAATGCAATGCTTTGGGCCAGAGTTCAGGCTCCAGGATAAGGACAAGAGCACTTTTCTTCCCCACTGCACCCCACCCCACTTCTTTTTAGGTGCTGTACAGCAATAGTGACTGCAGGTCCCAAACTGATTACTTTATAGCAGGGGAGGGCCTGTGTTCTTTAGGGAGAAAAAAAAATCCTAACTCAAAAGTCTTTATTTAGTGGAGGGAATTCAGTAAACACAAACCAGGTTAAAGGGGTCTGCTAGAATTTGCCGGTGGCTTCAGTGGGTTACTTCCTTTCTAATCACAAATGGCCTATTTTGGCGCTTAATTGTACCCAAGGATGGGGGAAACAGCCCTGCACATCCCACCAATCTCAAAATGTCTTCATGAGGTGGCTCAGTGTGACCTTAGGGGGAAAACCTAAAACTTCTACTTTTTCCACAAGTTTCTACATTTCTTTGTGGCAATAAGAATGCACCAGCACTATTCCGCTCACACAAGTACTATAAGCAATATAATAAAATTTAGAAATCCCCAACCACAGCCTCAGCTCTCATAATTTCAAAGGCAATATTTGATTGATTGATTGATTGACTGATTGATTGATTGATTGACTGATTGATTACAGCTCAACTTTTCATAAGAATTCCAAGGTGAAGAGAAGGCTTTCAGGAATACAATTTCCCCTGCCTACTGCTTCTGCCGTTGTACCACTGATTTCTGTAAGACACATATACTAATACATAATCTTGAAAAAAGGAGGAGGGACAGTGCGATTCTTGCATCTATCTTATCAGTTCTTTTTCCAAAGTAGATCTGAAGACACAGTCATGTAATAGCATTGACATCACATTCTCCTGTTTTCATAGGAGAATGTCCATAAAAGTTCACAACAGATTGACTCGCTAATTTGTCCTGTAGCTAGCCCCTATTGATGTCCTGCTAGCCAGTTCTTGAGTATGGGAAAAAAGGAACAGTTGATTGATTGATTGACTGATTGATTGATTGATTGATTGATTGATTGCCTTTAGCATTAGTTTCATGACAGTGCTCCTTCAGCACACCAGGAGGTTTGTTGTTTTTAGCATCATGGCAGCATGTTGGGATGGATATAACATTCTAGGACCTCAATCAGACATCTGTTTCTAACACAATTTTTAGCGTCTGTAAAACACTTCTCCAAATATGCACATCTTTCCGAACAGCTATGGACAAGTGGTTTATGTTATTGACCTCCAGGGAAAATGGTCATATCACCACAATGCCAGTCTGGCTGCCAGTCTCTGTGTAAATATTGTCCCATGTTTAAAGTAGATATAAATAACACCAGGAATATTTGACTCTATACATCTCTCTTTTTAAAAAAAGTTTATTTGCTGTCCTCAAATCAGTCAGTCAACCATGAGCTGCTATGACTGAGATGACTGGAAAACAATACATTTTAAAAGCTTAATCCATTATTTCTTTATACAAAAAGAATTACATTGTGACATTTTCCTCCTTAAGTACAGGAAGAATCAGAGGCTCCCTAAAAGTTAAAATAATCTTTCTCAGGATTATAAGAAGGACTACAGAAATGTGATGTTCTGTCTAATCATGTGCTTGTGCTTCTTACTTCCTAAATAAATATGAGAGGAAGTGCAAAGATGAACTATATATTACAAATAAACAAAAAATCTGCTTTCTGCCATGCCAGTCCAAAGCAGCTGATAACAAAGAAATGTTAAAGTTTGTAATGATTTAAAAAAAAAAGTAATATAAAGTCAAGAAACAAGATCAAAACAAAATTATTAGCAGAAGAGTATCATTCCAATTAAAAGCTGAGGGGATGGGAAAAGATTAAAAATACAGGTTCCAGATGCACATTTCTGGATATGCTATTTTAAAGATCAAGCATTAGAGTAGGTACAGGCACTTGCACACATACATGCTTTTTTCCCAGTGAAAGTAAAGGCAAATAAAAAAAAGGCCTAAAAGTAAGTTTTCAATAAATGAGCAAGTTAATGTGGGAAAAGGTGAGATTTTTCTTCTATCCAGCTCACAGTCTGGAACGTACACTATCTACAACAGGATCTCATGCAATCTGATCTAATAAAGTCTCATTATATTATCTCTGAATCTGTCCATTAAGGGTCCTAGGTGTTCAAGGTACTATAGAAAAAGTACTCCAGAGTGTATTAGTAGTTTACACTCCAAACAAGTACAGGCAGTTGTTTGCTCTGATATGTCTGACAACAGGCCTTTCAAGATCCCCCATTCTTTTATAAAAGGGCAGTTTCTCAAGCACGTGAAGATCCTCCCTGAGTTCTTCATTCCCCAGAGATCCTGAATGGCTCGGTTTCCTCTAGAAGATCTCCATCCCCTTTGGGTATTTCCCACCCCCATCCATCATTTTCAGTATGAAATAGAGTTGTTGTTGTTGTTGTTGTTTAGTC